TTTTTGATCTGACCAATTAAATTGTTAAAATGTTTGAGAAACATATGTTCTAAAAAGTGGATATGATTTCTACAATAAAGGGAGAATCACATTTGATTTCATGGGAGAGTATGTCATCCATGGGATTGGGTGCGAATAAATAGGTAAATATACTTTGTTGGATGTAGAATATGAGATTTCTAGGGTGACAGACTAAAAATCCCCAATTCTTTTAGTTAATTGGAAACTAATGTGATAATGTGTCTAGAGGCATTGAATCCTCCCAGCCTAACTACGGAACTAGGGACCAAAATCTGGATTAGTCAATGTTCAATATAGCGCTCGGAAGAGGGTAGAGAGTAGGATTGCTCCTATTGGGCACAAAACTGTTTTTAAATATATTTTTCAAATGATTTCAATTACTTCACAAGCCATATTTTCATTTTAAAGGGTAAGGGTGTTTTCTCATACTTGAACTTTTCCTCAACAAAAACCTTTGTTTTATTTCAACAATTTTACTTTTGAAAGTTTAGCATCTAGTTTAAGTTAACTGTTGTAGTCGTACACCTGCATATTTGGTAGTATTTCACTTGAGTAGTTTAACTTCAAACTTCATACTTTATTTTGTTTTTATTTTTATTTTAATTTAAGAATATAATATTAATAGCTAGCTTATATATATTTTCGGCCTCCCTGTGGGATCAATATCTAGGAATCCATTAATGCCCAGTATTACTTGAACGATAGATATACATGCGTTATATGTAGAAGGGAATTGAGAGTTTAAAAGAGGTTTAAAGATAAATTATTTTCATTAAACTTACACTATTGTTTGGGTTACATTGCATATTTATTTTTAAATTAATCCCAAGTTTCCATGCATCAGGAAGGAGAGGCCATCAAGGGTAATTGGTGGGTGCTTTGGGTTGCTTATGTGGATGCCAAAAATGTGCAATAGTACAATTTGGATGAGACAAATTGGATGGGTTTAATTTTGAGTTTTGGTCTAGGTGAAGCTTTTGGACATGGCTTTTTCGGTAGCCTAGGCGGCCAGGCTGAGGTCACCATCTGACTCAAGGAGGTCAGGGCTTGGGTTTGGTGAAGTCAATTGGGGTTGGCCTTGTGTAAGGGTATAAGATTGAAATAGTATGTGGAAATGGATATTTTGAGTCAATTTGGGTCAAATCATGGTTTCTTAAAATAGGATGTGGAAAGGGTCATTTTGGGTTAAATCACGGATTTGGGTTGGGTTCACCCACCAAGGCTGGCTTGAAAGAGAAATCAGATGATTCAACTTAATCATCTTGGTGAGGTCTCTATCCAAGGAGATTTAGCTAACCATGCGTTAGAGTGATTCATGGGAGGGGTTAAAAGAATATTAAGGATATATGAAAGTGGTTTGGCCTCTTGCCATTAATAGCTTGATGATGTGGCATGGCTCTCATGGCACATAGCTCTCATGGCTCACCCATGACTTGAGAGTGGCTTCATGGCTTGTCCTTGGCTTGGTCAACTTTCATGAGGAGTGATTTTTTAATTTATGAAATATTTTGGTGGAATTTGACATGATGCTTGATATAGAACAATTTGATCATGAATTTGAGACTTAGGGGATGATTTTGATTAAATGAATGATGGGGATAAAATTTTTCATATGGGCTTTTGGATTTGGGCCTTTTAGAATGCCTTAAGGATTTGGGCTTTTTAAAATTGAAATTGAACTTGGGCTAAAATTTTGGGCTAATTGAATGTTGAGTATGGTGTAGGAATATGTCATGAAGGCTTTGGAAGAATTTCAAGTGATTTTGAATTGAATTGGGAAGGTAATTTAGTGGATTTAGGCATATGGTCAAAATTGAGGCTTTTTATTTGAGTAAAATTGAGCTTGTAATTGGGTCAAAATGAGCTTGAATTTTGTTTAGATTAGGATTTAGGATGTTGAATTTTGATTTGGAATTGAAATTAGACAAGATTGTGGTCAATTGAGCTAAGATTGAAGCTAATTTGGGGGCATTTGGGCCTTTAAGGGTAACTTGGGGCTTTTGGTCAAATTGGACTAATTTGGTCAAATTAATGATAAAGAATTGAAATTGGGAATATTTGGGATGATTTTGGAATTTTTTGAATTTTTAGGTCATGAGGGGCATTTTGGTAATTTTGAGTAATTTTTGGAGTATTTTGGAAATTTGGTAATTTTTTGTGAATTTTGGTCAATTTATGTAGTGGTAAGGGGTTTGAGATGATTTTTGGGCAAGTTTGGGTATTTTGGGTAATTTTGGGATTTTTTGGCAAAGATTGGGGTTGTAGGGATACTTTGGTAATTTGGTAATTTTAGGCCAAAATGGGTCAACAAGCCATGAAGTCATACTAAGCTAATAGGAACCAAATTATGACTCATTTTGGATGCTCAATGTGCTGGTTCTAATCCTTTTAGCCAAAGTCTCCACATAAGCTCTCCAAAAGGAGTCAAGGGACCAACCTAAGGGATCTTAAGGTTTAGGGTATTTGAGAGAGTGTAGTGTGTGCAAGTTAGCCCCACCAAAAACAGATCACCCAGGGTTAGTTCTAAGGTCGGACCATCCTATGGGGGACTCCCCTTGAGCTTTTCTATATTGACCCCACCTACTAAGTGCTAGAAATTAGGAACAACATGTGGAACTTCAAGTTTAGTAAAGAAGAATTTGAAACTTCTAATGGTGAGTGTTCCTTTTCTAGTCCTCTAGAAATAGTCAATAGGAAAGTTCTATGTCTATGGCTAGATCCTAACTAAACCTCAACCAAAAAAGAGGTAAACAATTATGATAAAGGACATTTCTAGGAGGATCAAATCATAGAATATTAATCAGAAAAGTTATCAATCCCCTAACAAAACCCCTCTAAGCATAATAATTATTTTCTCATCCTCTCATGCTAAGAGATCCATTGAATTGATGTTTTGTAAAGATAGCCTTCATCACTATCCTACATATATAACACTTTGTAATAAGAAATAACAATAATTCACTCAACTATAACTTCATTGTTTTATAGAAAGAAAAATTAGATTTTAACCCATCCATATTGGCATTTGTCCAATAATTTGATTATTAAATATTGATTTATAAAGAAATAGATTTTTAGTCATCTATCTTGTAGTTATTCAATGTTGTTCATCAAATGTTAATAGAAATTAAATTTAAAAATTAAAAATAAAATTAAAAATAAAAGTTAATATATCATAAGACTATTGACTCATTATTTTCTTTATGCATATGTATTTATTAAAATACTAAATTATTGAGTGTACAAAATATATACAAATAAATATAATAATATAAAATAAGTATAAAATTAATTAACTTGCCATTAAATGCCAAATTTATTGAATTGTTAATAATCTACTTCTTATACTATCGATACACAATCAACAAATTTTTATCATCTGACATGAATCTCAAGGCGTGACATGAATTTCAAGATAATTTTTTCAGCAATGAACTTTCACTTCAATTAAAATTATCCAGAACTCTGATTTTGGTATTTTTATAGTCAAACTGACGGGCTCGATGAGATGAACCTAATGACACCAATATTAACCCATTTTGAGTCAAATTAAGAATAGATTGAGCAATTAAATCATTTTTGGAAGTTTGTGGTGTTGTGTGAGTATTTTTGTAGTATATATATATATTTTTTCTATTTGAATAAAGTTGGTGTAACCATCATTATCGAAAAAAAGTATTATTTTAAAGAAGAGCTTTAAATTTTAATAATTTCGTGCTATCATAAATTTTGATTTGTTCATAATTGAATGGATTAAATTAAGTTACATTTCAGTTTGATTTGGATCAATTATAGTAAGAATTTGTCGGATCTAGGTTTTTGGATTTCAGATTTTTGTTTAGCTCCATTTAACAAAACTAACCAATCCAAACGAACGGACAATGTACAATGTATAAGGTGATATGTTTGAAAACAGTTGGGTTTGATTTGAGATTAGCACCGCATATGGAGTCTGTATTCTATAAATTTCAAACTAAATACAATTATTTTTAGTTCAACCTCACAAATTATATCAAACAAATTCTAAAGAATTGTGCGCTTATTTCGTGATACAGTGATTGAGGGTGTAATTTTCCACCGCGAAGCCGCAAATTCGACTCACGTATATTGCTTTCGAGGTCTAAAAAAATCCAAACCATATTCCTTTCCATATATAAATTTGAGAATAACCTAGGAAGAATAGGGTTTCTTGTGACCTAAATTAATGTTCCTTCCTCCCCACCAAAACTATAGCAATGTTGGGAAAAAAAATGGCTGAACACCCCCCATCTCTTTGATTTTACATCCAACGTCTCTAGAAGTTCTTGCAATCTGAAAATCAAATCGCCATAAATAGTGCCGTTTTTCATTCAACTTCGCCGGGGGGCCGTTGGCCCTCTCTTCTCCGCCGTGCGACGGCGGCTATCGCGGCCATTAATCCGTGCCCTCTTCAATGGAAGGATGTTTGGTTCCGGAGGACGAGTCTTCTTCTGTTGATGTCTGCTACATCCTCCGTCAGCTTCAACACGTCGGCTTCTGCTCTGCTCTCGATCCCATCACCGACGTCTCTCGGTTCGAGCAGATTCTCTCGGTTTTCTTAAAGGAGCTTCACTGCAAGAGTGACATCCGGCCATTCCCGGCCATGCTTGGCGATGGGAGGCCGATAGATTTGCACAAGCTGTACCTTCTGGTTTCTAAGAGAGGCGGATACAAGTCCGTGACGGCTAACAAGGCTTGGGCTGTGGTGGCGGAAGAACTCGGATTGGAATCGGCAATTGGGTGTCCCTTGAAACTGATCTATGCCAAGTACCTGAACTTGTTGGAGCGTTGTTTGCAGAGGGTTGCAGCCAGCAGGTTGGGAGGCTATTCGGCTTCTGAAGAGAATCTGGGAGTGTTGATGAGTGATTCTGAGTCTGAAGTTAGAAGTCTTTTCAAGGAGATTCTGAAACAGAAGAAGAAGGATGGTGTGGATTTCGCACTGTCGCCGCATTCAAAGAGGGATCAGTTCTTGACTCGAGCAAGACAGAAGGAGCCAATGTTGCTGCTTGAAAATGCCAAATGTGTTGGTCGAAATGATTCTAGTGGTTTGGGTTCGAAGTTGGCGAACGGGAGTTTCTCATCTCTTAAGAGGAAAAGGGAGCCAATGGCGAGCATGTTGAATTGGGTGAAAACTGTAGCAAAATGTCCTATTGATCCTTCTACAGTAAAGATTCGGCCATCAGATGGCCTGAAAGATATAAAAAATTTGGTCGGTCTGCAATATTCTCTTGCATTTCAAGCACGGAAGGCGTTATTTCTTCAAAAGTTCCAAGGCAAGGACATTGATGCATCTGCCTCTCAGGTATTCATTTGTAGTTATATTTCATCGGATCAGTTTTTAATCTTTGAAAATAGATGAACACTTCTAAGGCCTCAATTTGGCAAGATTATTGTTTGTTGTGCTATTTTGTATTTTAGCATGATATTGCGCTTTGTTGTTGAGTAGAATGGATAATTGTTTGGCGCAATGGCTGTTAAGTTTGGTATAGCCTTAAAAACTAAGCTTGATAGTTTTCTACTGTTTTTTTTTCATGGAAGACGTAGTTTTTGCGTTGATGATCTTCATGTTGTGAAAGACGATGACAATAAAGCAAAAATTGGAATGAGAAATTCACAAAATAGAGAAAAACAGGAACACACAGATTTACGTGGTTTGACAAATTGCCTACATCCACGATATTGCAGAGAATGTTATTATCTTGATGATTACACAGCTTTGATAGCTTCAACGTTTACAAGAGAACTCTTTCTTTCTCTCCCTCTCTTTCTCCTTTCTTCCTCTCTCTCTTTCCCACTGTTTGTAACCGAGAGATTCAAACTGAGAAGAAGAAGAGAAACCAAAGAGATAGCTTATTCCATGCATATCAATTCTAGCTAGGGTTGTAAACGAGCTGAGCTTGAGCGAGCTCAGGCTTGGCTCGTGTTCGGCTCGTTCGTAATCGGCTCGTGTTCGAAAACGACTCGTGAACAATGTGTTCGTGTTCAACTTGATTTAAATATTTGTGTTCATGTTCGACTCGATAATGACTCGTTAAAATTAAACTGAAAAAATAGATGTAGAGTACTGGTTTCGAACCTGAACCAAATATATGCAAAACATGACACATAACCACATTATCATAAGAGCAGTTACGATTTAAACTTAGATATAAATATATATAATATATTATTATATAAATAATATGTGTAATATATTTTTATATAAATAATTATATAATTTTTTTTATTTCGAGTTAAAACGAGCCGAACACGAGCGAACAAAGAGTTGTTCGTGTTCAACTCGTTTATAATTTGAGCTTTAAAAACTTGTTCGTGTTCGACTCGAGCTAGCTAATGAGCCGAACACGAGCCGTTCACGAACAATGAGCTTTTTTGACAACCATAATTCTAGCCATTATATGGGCCCAATTTTGGCCCATATAAGTAGGGGTGTAAACGAACCAAACACGAACGAACAAAGCTTGTGTTCGTGTTCGGTTCGTTTAAAATTTTGTTTGTTTGAAATAAACTCGTGTTCGTTTCCTAACGAACGAGCCGAACACGAACCGAACACGAGCTGTTCGCGAACGACGAGCCAATTTGACATCCCTAATATTAATATATAAAAATAATATTATATATTAATTATATAAATTATATTATATAAATATACAATATCTATATTAGTATATTACTACTATAGTATATTAATATATTATTATTATTATTTTATTATATATTATAATTTATAAAATTTAATGTTTTAAAATATAATAAATTTTTTATATATAATTATTTTATATTATTTTATATTTCAAACAATAACGATTCGAACACGAACGAACGCATCACTGTTCTTGTTTGGTTCGTTTAACTAACCGAACGAAAAAAATTTGTTCGTGTTTGTCTCGTTTACTTATCGAACGAATCGAACACGAACTCATTGACGAACCGAACACGAATTGTTCGCGAACAACGAGCTTTTTTGACAGCCCTACATATAAGGAAACTCAAGATTTGTAAATTCCAGGCAAGAGATTAATCTAGGCAAAGCTTAATTAAGCAATATTAACTAAGTTTTCCTTAATTCTTTATGTCAAGAAAGACAACTGCCTTAAATGAAAACGAGAGGCGATAAGCTACAACAGGGAACAAATTACATAGGGAAATAAACTTAAATAATTTCCATAAGTGCCGAGATCATCAATTCAAGGAAGTGGACTGGGCTCCACCTTACTTAACAATTCTCTCACTTGGAGACTAGGACACTAGCTACATCGCCTTCTTCTTCAGACGTGATATTCTCCACCTCTGTAACTTTAAGCATCTGTCTTTAAGCTAAAAGATCAGTTGAAGTCGGCACAACTTCAATTTCTTATCTGTTCTGACAAGCTTCTACTTGCTCGAATTTTCATCTTTTAAGATTTCTTCATAACTTTGCAATTCTCCCCCATATGTCAATATAATGTAGTTCAAGGTCGGTGAGTAACGCTGAGGAGAATGTCTATTTTTGACTGACCTGCAAATTGTAGTTGTAGGGGTGGAAAATCTGCAACTGACTGCGGAATAATATGAATGGGTGTCCCAGATCCACTTTTCTCATCACTAACATTACTGTCTTGCACTGTGACCTCTAATAGATCAACAAACCTTAAATTTCTATTGTGGTCATCAATGATTGGGGCATAGTAACAATAGTCTCCAAGAGATGTCACTGGAGAATGTCCTCACACATCTGTGTACAAGATCCAGTTTTTCTGCCTTTGGCGCTCCGCCACTTTCCAAGAAACTGACATTCATCTGCTTCCCCATAATACAACTCTCACACATGCTGAAATCAACTAACTTCAGCTCTGGTAGCTTGCCTCTGAACTGAAGTTCTTTCATGCCCATCTGACTCATATGACATAGCCTGAGAAAACTTATAATTATATATAGTATTTCAGTTTTCTTACCTTGAGCTAGTACCAATGCCCCATTTGAAACCTTCCAGAAGCTATTTGAGAATACTACTGAATGACCACCCTCTTCGAGCTGCCTAACATAAATGAGATTTTTCTTCAATTCAGAAATGTGTCTGATCTTTTGCAAAATTCATTTGCTTTTGTTAGGGATTGCAATATCAACGTCTCCCATCCCTACCACGTCCAGAGTTTTTTCATCAGCCAGATACATCTTCCCAAAGTCACCTATAACATAGTTCTGCATTACCTTTCGGTGAGAAGATGTATGGAAAGAAACCCTTGAATTAACAGAACTTTGAATTGCCAGCAATAGTGCATTTTATACTTCTTTGTTACAACATTAGCGCTATCATCCTCTGTCTTCTTCGGATTTTTGTAGTTCTTTTTTATGTGACCAGCTTTACTGCGATTTCAGTAGGTTGCTTGCTGACTAGGTTTTGACTTGCTCTTGCTTCTGTGCTTTGATTTTAATCTTTCTCTGTTTAAGTTCATGTTCTGTGATCTACCTCTGGAATCAACATTTAATGTTGAACTCTAATCCGAGGTCTCGCCAGAATCTTTTCAGCGCATCTTAGTCAAAATTAAATGACGAATATTATCATTTTCCATCTTAGATTTACCTGCAGAATTGCTAGCTGTTATTATCGTGGCTTCTCAGCTATTTGATAATGAAACCAACAATATCAGCGCAAGTATCTCATTGTCAAAATTAATTTCAATAAACGACAATGATTTGTGATGATATTGAAATCATTCAGATGTTGAGCGATAAACACACCTTCCTCTATCTTTAAGTTGAATAACTTTTTTATCAAGTGCATCTTTTTATTCACCGATGACTTTTTATATATACCTAATAAATCTGTCATGAGATTTGTAGTAGTCATTTTCTTGATGACGTTGTGAGCAATAGTTCTCGACATGATTAATCGAATAACCCCCAGAACCTGTCGATCCAACTGATTCCAATCCGTCTCATTCATCTTTTTCGGTCGCTTTCCCAGTAACGGAAGATAAAGTTTCTTCACATAGAGATAGTTCTCTATCTGCATCCTCCAATAATCAAAATTTATGTCATCGAATTTCTCGATCCCTGATGTCATGATCTCCGACCATCGTTCTTCCTTAGATCTGTAACCACGACTCTAATATTAGTTGTTGTGAAAGACAACGTCAATAAAATGAAAAATTGGAACGAAAAATTTGTAAAATAGAGAAAAACACGAACACAGAGATTTACGTGGTTCGGCAAGTTGCTTAGGTCCACGGAGTTACAGAGAATTTTATTATCTTGAGGATTACACAGAGTCGATAGCTTCGACATTTACAAGACAACTTCCTCTCTCTCTCTCCTCTCTTCCTCTCTCTCTTTCTCACTCTCTGTAATTGAGAGATTCAAACCGAGAAGAAGAGAAACCAAAGGGATAGCTTTTTCCATGCATATCAATTATAGCCATTATATGGGCCCAATTTTGGCCCATGTAAGGAAGCTCAAAATTTGCGAATTATAACAGGCGGGAGATTAATCTGGGCAAAATTTAATTAAACAATTTTAATTAAGCTTTCCTTAATTCTTCCTGTCAAGAAAGACAACTGCTTTAAATGAAAATAGGAGGCATCATGCTATAACAGAGAGCAAATTACATAGGGAAATAAACTTAAATAATTTCCATAAATGTCGAGATCGCCAATTCAAGGGAGTGGACCGGGTTCCACCTTACTTAACATTTCACCCAATGGATTTTGCATGGGATGTTGATCCTTCAAATTCTTGCAATGCTTGTCCTGTCGAGTTTTGCATCAACCTTCATGAAGCATGTCTAATTAAAACTTATCATTGGGGTTCAACTTGAAAATTTTCATCTAATTCAGAGTCTCACGAACAACAATTTCAGAACTCCTAAATGTGCCGAATCATTTGATTTAGACATTTTATAGCACTATGCTTGGGGCTTAGGACCTCCATTGGTCCCTCCATTGTTAATAAGGATTTGATGGTCCAATGTAAATTTCAAAGATGGCGTGACTTGAATTTTCACCTTGTGATCGACCAAATGACCAAAATGCTTCTCAATTATGGAGACATTTGATCCCACACAAATTTAGAGATTACATGACCGTCAATTTTCCGATAAACTTCACCAAAACACTAAAACAACCTTCTTGTAAATGCTAAGCTCCTCACAAAGGAGAGTTGGGACCCTCCTATTTAATCTCGAAGAGAAACTAATCTAAATTGATTTCAACTTTTACATTGAACCTCACTAACTCTCCTAAGAACTAGACTATCTTTAAGGAGAAAAATTCAAATTGATTTTCTGGCCTTTTGCCTCAGTTAATAGTGTGCAATATATAATAT